TTATACTAACAGTCCTTAGTAGAAAACTCTTTCTATTAAAGGGTACTATAGTCCCTGATGATTAAGGACTGTGAGTCTGAACAGCCCAAGTGAGGTGACTGTAGGGATATTGTCATTACGATTGCTTCTTCTTGACGTTTCCATTGATTTGGTATGGAGGTCCTCGACGATGGGCGGCTTCCCCAAATTATGCGACCCAAGTTGTTTCGGTGACCCGGAAGAACGCGAAGCTTGCGGAGGGCGAGGGACCCTCACAAAACAGAACAAGTCCAAAACTTTTGAGGTTGGATGCGGTTTCGTTTCTTGCAAGCATGCGAAAACTGTCCACCCCACCCCCCCCACCCCCTCCCCCCCCACCCACCACCCCCCTTCCCCCAACCCCCATTCCCCACCAACCCCTCCCCCCCCCCCCCCCCCCCCCCCCCCCCAACCCCCCTCCCCCTGGCGGCTCCCACATACATCCTCCTGTTGCGGGCGTCGAGTGGCCTTGTTGAACATCTCCTCCCCGGGGCGCAGAAGCTTCTTGGTGGAGAGAACCAACCTCGGGGCAGGACTGGGAGTGCACTATCGTGCTAAGTTGCTACGGAACGCTGCAGGACATCGGCCCAGAGCCTACACCAGCTGCCAAAAAGAGCAACGGACCCTCACATCAGCGTTGGGTGCATGCTGGAGGAGTCTAGCAAAGGTCAGTGTCGATTTTTGTTCGCCGCCTGTCGCGCAATTAAGGCTGGTGCAGTCTGCGCGAGTCTGGGAATGAACTTGCATCATGCACCTACTTTAGCAAGCCTACAGGCTCCCTGCCGCCCCAAGAAAGAAAACCAACATCCAAGAACAGACTCTGCACAACCTGAAAACAGAGGTATCCCAAAATGGTGCCTACCACCTTCGACCTGGAACCCTCTTTACCTACAGTTTTATGCGAATTAAGGGTAGTTATTACTAAACTGTAGGTACTTGGGTCTGCAAAGTTGACCATATCTTTTTCTATACTGAACTTGGAACCCTAGCAAAAACTTATGATTTTAGCTGTTTCTTAGGAATTACCATACCAAAAAACTAAAGACTATTCCCAAGAATCTCTAAACCCTAAACCCTAAACCCTAAGTTTAGAGGCTTCTCATCTTGATTTCTTGGCCGCGGTTGCAACGGGTGCCAATTCAAAGGCTGGCGCCTGAAGGCTCGGAGCGTACTGAGACATGGGCTTCGCTTTTTGAAGGCAGGTGGGGTCCATGAGAGGAATACCCTACACCCTAAACCCTAAACCCTAACCCTAAACCCTAAGCCCTAAGCCCTAAACCCTTAACCCTCAACCCTAAACCTTGCTGCGAGCGAGGTGTGTGTGTGTGGCCCATGGGAAACTGCAGCTGGATGACAGGCAAAATGCAATAATGATCATGGTATTGACGAAAAAGCAGAAACTAGTCAAAATCCAGGATTTGCCTTCGGGCTTCCGGAGCCTTCTGAACACTGTCCGAACTACGCCCTGGTGGCAGAGGGAAGCCATCCCACCCAACGGCACGTCTTCTCCTTCATAGGGAAGTTCTCTCAAGCACCGGAAGATCGTCTCGCAACGGTTGCTTCTCGTATGCTGGGCCTTCATCCTTCTGCCACCTCAGGCGTCCTAGAGCTCTTGGTGCCCTGGCTTTGCAGCGGGCCCCTGTGGGCCTACATCAAGAGAGGCCGTCGGCCTCAAGGGGGAACTGTCACCCAGCACTCACGGCTGAAGGCGGAATTAAACTTTCTTGAAGACCGGATCGGGAGATCTGCACGCGTTTGGAACAAACCCTATAAACCCTAAGCCCTAAACCCTAAACCCTAAACCCTAAATAAACCCTAAACCCAAACAAGTTTCTACTCCAAGGACCATCAACTCCCCAGGCTCCCATGGGAGCTGCCCTTCAGATCTCCACCGGTGTCTCTCCGGCTTGATCCTGCTCCGACCCATACCTGGCACACCAGGATGGGGGGTACTCGGCCTTAACATCCTCATGATGAACCTCATAATAAGGGCCTTTTAAGGGATTGTTATAGACAGGCATTAACATCCTCATGATGAACCCTATAAAGGGCCTTTTCAGGGATTATTATAGGGTATAACAGGCCTTAACATCCTCATTATGAAGCCTATAAAGGGCCTTTTAAGGGATTGTAGGGTATAACAGGCTATTGGACCTTAAAATCCTCATTATGAACCCTATAAATAAGGGATTGTTGGGTATAACAGGCTGTTGGACCATAAAATCCTCATTATGAACCCTATAAAGGGCCTTTTAAGGGATTGTAGGGTATAACAGGCTGTTGGACCTTAAAATCCTCATTATGAACCTATAAACGGCCTTTTCAGGGATTATAGGGTATAACAGGCTGTTGGACATTAAAACCCTCATTATGAACCCTGTAAAGGGCCAAGGGATTGTAGGGTACAATAGCCCATACCTGGCACGTAGAAAGGGACTCGAAGGCGGCTTTTACGCGTGTCGCCGGCTGTTGAGCTTCTTTTTCAGTCGAGATCAGGGTGTAAGGTTCCAGGTTGAGGGATGTTTTGGTGCTCATTCAATCATTTCGGTCCCCCCAAAATGACTCGCAAGCCCTGCCGCCCCTTCTGGGACATCACACGTCCTGCCCAAATCCCAGAACCACCCCAACTCCAGCTATGTGTTCTTCTTTTTCGCGCATGTTGCGAGCTTTCAAGTTTAGCACGAATGCATAACCCTAAACCCTAAACCCTAAACCCTAAACCCTGACCCTGAACCCCTCAGCAACGGGATTGCCTCTCCGCGCCCGCTTCCAGGGTTTCCTCACCCTGAGACCAGGCTGGGATTGCTTGAGGGATATGGAGTAGGGTTTAGAGTTTAGAGTTTAGGGTTTAGGGTTTAGGGTTTAGGGTACCCTTCAAAAGGACACCCAATATTTACACTCACCAATATTAAAAAGGAACCCTGTATACACTCACCGGTAACAGTAATACAAACCCTACTTCATATGGGGCACTTCGTGCGCAGCAAGAGAACAACTCATGCTAAGCAACCCCTAGCCTGAGACAAAAGGGGATATGTCGACATGGGCAATTGCCTGAATTCAAAACAATATGGTTCATTTGGGACTTTCGAGCATATACATAGAGGAACGTGCCTTATTTCAGGCACAGGGCCAGTGGGTCTAGGTTTCCCTGATTTCTGGCAACCGTCGGCAACCGTTTGTCCTATCCAACTACCAGACCTCACGCAAAAAAAACCAGTAGCTTACACAGTACGCCCCTAGAGCCTGCGATCTAAACCAGCTATATGGGGGGTCCCCTATTTTTGTAAACCCTAAATCCTAAACCCTAAACCCCTAGATTATGTCTCTGGGACCCTGAGGACCTTGGTTTCGTCGGCTTCTTTGTTCGAGGTGGGCTTGCCCCGGCGCATCAGCACAAGCGTCGGAAGTGTGATGACCTTCTGTAGGTTCAGGGTTTAGGGTTTAGGGTTTAGGGTTTAGGGTTTAGGGTTTAGGGTTAGTGCTGGTTTAGGGTTTGGGGTTTAGGGTTTGGGCGCAGGTTTTGAGGATTAGGGCCCAGGTTGTGATTCCAACGCTGCACTTCAAGTGCCATGGAAGTATCGTAAGAATGCACACGTGAAACTTGCAATTGTGATTGCAGGTTGGTTCAGCTACTGCCCTCAATGCACGTCGTGTGGCTGTACGAATTCCAGTGGTGACGCACGGTGGTGACGCAACATTACTTGCAGAGTGATCGCAGGATGCCGAGTGCCACATCATAGAAGAACCTGTCTACACCGACGTACACACGTTCCCCAATTGCAGTCATGCAAACCCTTCAGACCCGTCATGAACTTGAACCCCGAAGAAGGGCGATAAACCCCGGCGTCGAAGATCCTTTTGTTCTGCACGAACTCCAAGAAAGACAGAGTTGAAAGTTCGGGGCGTCAGGTTTCGACTTTTTGCAATGCAAGCATCACCCCCTTTGGCACAACTTTGAAGCCGACTCCCCTCTGAGTCTCCTGCTAGCTCGCCTGTGACGAGCGAGCAGGCCAAGGAACGGTACGTGGGGGATTCCGACATTAGGGGTACCTTGTCAGGGTCCTTGTATTCTTAGGGAATCCTACGATTTAGGGATCTATGTTTTCGTAAACCAAGTTTTTCTTGGGGTCTTAATCCCTTACAGCCCCAAGCTATCCCTACGCCTGACTCCTACTTACGACCCCCTACCCCCGTTATACATTAATTTCCTGGGTTTAACAGGCCAGGAGAAATGCATAACGAACCCTAAAGACATGTGATCGTTTTTTGCCTTTGTGCTCTTCGGTCGCCAGTCATCACTGAAAAGGCCGTTCCCCCCATGGGCCTTTCAGGCTTGAGTTGGGAAGAGCACCTAAAATGTCACAGCTTGAACCCCTGCAACATCGGCAACTCCAACATCAACATAACCACCACCCTCGTTATACATTTTTGCCTTGGTGGACCGATTCTCTCCCGAAGTACAGGTACCCTCGTTATACATTAATTGGGCGTGGGGATCCCAAGCTTGAACACGTATCCTATGCCCTACATCAACTCTCAACTTAACCCCCCAGCCCAAACCCTAAACCCTAAACCCTAAACCTCCAGTTCGGAGCTGCACTGGGCGTCCGACCCCGACGGAGAGCACCCAGCTCACGACCTCAAGGCGTAGCTCCCATTTTGCGGCTTTTTGTCGAGGCTTCAGGACGACATTCGGGCGACATGCCGGAGCGTGAACATCGACTGGTCGAGTTTGAGGGCAAGAATTTTGGGAGGTCATTCAAGTATATGTAGGGGCCCTAGGGGAATGTTGTTAGTAATTATTCCGACCCCTACACTGAATGTGCAACCTGCGCTCCAAAACCTGCAGGGAATGAGGGGTTTAGGGTTTAGGGTTTAGGGTTTCGACTCTCACACTGGCACAAGCGGGCGAGGCAACTCCTGTCGAGATCTCTAGAGTGGGTGCATTGACCACCAGTAACGAACCAAGGGTTTAGGGTTTAGGGGCAAGCAAGCTGCAGGCGAAAGACTGCACCGACTGCGGGATGCCACAGCAGCATCAGCTGGCTAGCTAGCCTCACAGTATGGGTTCCGGGAAACAAGGGGGGCGCAAAAAGGAGAACGGGCAGAAAAGGGCATAAAAGGATGGAGCTTGTGAAGACCCATCTAGTTACTAGTTGCGGTTCAGGGTTCGAAAGTCTAGGGTTGCTGCATGCTGAACCCCCTTGAGTGGCCTACACGAAGCATCTCTCGACCCGAATGCACCAACATCCCGAAATCAGAGCCGCCGACCCTTCGTATCCCTCTTTCTTCCTCTCGCGGGCTGTTTTGTTTCCACCCATCTCCCTCGATCTGAACACGAACGAGAGTGAGTTGCGGCTCCTCCACTGCCCCTGTAGTCGAAAGGGTGTCTTGGTTTTGGTTGGTGAGGGCGTTTCGGGTTTTACGCTGGCATTCCTAAGGAGTCCGTATAGGAGTCCTACAAACCATAGGCCCGCCTCCTACCCCGGGCCTCCCCAAACCCTACCCTGCAGGCCTTGTAGAAGGAGCCTGTTGCTCTGGGTTCCGGGCTTAGGGTTTTGAACCACGCCATGCCTACGGCCACATCGGAAGACTAAAAAAGCTAGTGGCTAGACACTGAGACGCCCCAAAGTGACGACCCTATGCATGGGTTTAGGGAGTACTGTGCAATAAGCCAAAACCCAAAACCCAAAACCCCCAAACCCTCAACCCAAACCCTAAACCCTAGCCCTAAACCCTAAACCCGAAAACCGTGCATGAGGCGGGGAAGGCCAGGGCACATCGCGTAGGCTGAGGGAGACAGCATGCCAAGGACCATGGGAGCCAGGCATCCCATGGCCACATCCTGAAGGGGGTTTAGGGTTTAGGGTTTAGGGTTTAGGGTTTAGGCGGGGTCTATAGGGTTGAGGGGCCCTAAGCCCATTTCGGGATTTGGGGGCCCTAAGGCCCTTGTTCCGAGAAGGTTTAGCCCGTGTTAAGCTTCAAAGCTTATAGGCTCTTTCGGAGTTAATCACTTGTAAAACCTACTACGCATCAACCGGCACCCTGTTCTCCTGGGTTGGGGTCTCAACCTTGGGCAGGCTTAGAAGCCAGGGCAGGAACGGCAGGGTTCGTATTGTAGGCATGGGGTGTGGGTAGGTTCCTTGGGATATCGGGGAGCTTGGGCCCTACTGGCCGATGACCCTCTGCTATGCAGACTGGAGGCCTCCCCTTGGGACATCCAGAGGATCATAATCACGGCCACGGACCTTGAGGCTATGCAAGGCTGAGATCTCGAAGCCTATACTTCTATTTGCTTAAGATTCTTCCTTTTAAGGGTAATACAGAGATTATTATTTCTACTTTTTGGGGGTTCTTAAGCAAATGGTGATATAGGCACAGGAACTTGCTCAGGGCTTCGCACAGCTCGGGGCCCAGCACGATAGGCACGTTCGCGATTATGCCCGCCAGTGCCGGCACAGAGTCCGCCAGCAACATGGCGGACAAGAACACACCTGAAGGGTTCTCCACTGGGAGCCTCTTTACCTACAGTTTTCTGTATGTATTATGCAATACCTACCAATTATGAAGGGTAGTTGCTACCAATCTGTCCCAGGTAGTGTTCATAGGGTTTAGGGCACGGACCAGTCAGCGAAGAAGCCTTGGCATCTTGAATTTCAAATGCTTACCCCAAGCCTAAGATGCTGCACTCAGCCTTGAAGCCCCCAAACCCCCCCCCCCCCCAAAAAAAAAAAAAACCTTCCTAAACCCTAAAACCTAAACCCTAAACCCTAAACCCTAATTAAACCCCAAACCCTTTTGCATCCGGACTCCCATGGGTGCAAACCCTAAACCCTAAACCCCAAACCCTAAACCTTAAACCCTTCCCTGTGGGTTTCAGGGTTGAAGGCTCAGGCAGAGATTGTGCTCCAAGACTCGAAGACTCAGGCAGTTTCGGGGCGCTTTGGGGGGCTGAGGGTTTAGGGTTTTCGGGCTAACCCTAAACCCTAAACCCTAAACCCTAAACCCTACACCCTGAACCCTGAACCCTGAACCCTAAACCCTAAACCCTAAACCCTAAACCCTGAACCCTGAACCCTAAACCCTAAACCCTAAACCCTAAACCCTAAACCCTGAACCCTGAACCCTGAACCCTAAACGGTTTTCGGTGCCAGCGAGACGCAGAACGTCGCGGCGCCGCGGCCGGCGAGGATGGCGCTGCCGCTTCTTGGCCGCTTACCTGGTTCGGGGAGACTAGGGTTTAGGGTTTAGGGTTTAGGGTTTAGGGTTTAGGGTTTAGGGTTTAGGGTTAGGCTTTAGGGCTTAGGGTTTAGGGATGGGTGTAATTAGGGTTTAGGTTTAGGGTTTCTAGTGCTCAGGGTTTCGGGTTTAGGGAGTTTGCCTGCCACTCCCAAACCCAGCAAATCAGTCGGTCATAACCCCCCGCCAAAATGGGCACATGTAGCCCAGGTCTTAGGGTTTGGAGAAGCCGAAGCCTCTTCTGGAAGAGTCTTGTATTCGTCGGGTAAGTTGAGGTTCATGTTTCTTGGCTGCACTTAGGAGGGTAGCTATAAACTACATTTTTAGCTGCCTAGCAAGCCCAATAGAACGAAAAGGATAAGGATCTAAAGTTCCATTAATTACAGCACCACAGAGGTTTGTTGCGTTGGACGTTAGCGGTCTAGGTTTGGGGACTTTTTCTGAGTGACACGGAGATTCGGAAAGTTGGAACACCCAATGCTAGGCCCCTTCTCAGGTTTTCATATGGACGAAACGCAACACCTGCGCAGCCACCATGAAAAGTTCTGGTTCGGGGTTTAGGGTTTAGGGTTTAATTAGGGTTTGAGGTTTAGGGTTTAGGGCTTAGGGTTTAGGAATCCTTCGGATCCCATACCCCGAAGCCAAAGACAGCTTCCTGGTTCGCAGTACGGAATTGGGAAATCGCGTGCCCCAAAAAATCCCTAAAATTGATTTAAGAGAAAGTGAAGATGTCACATACAAAACAACCCAAACCCCTAAACTCTAATCCCTAAACCCGACTGAAACTAGGAAAAAAAAACAAGCCCAAAACCCGAAACCTCACAGGGCCCGACCCTAAACCCTAAACCCTAAAGCCCCACTTGCCTGTCGCAGTAGAGGTCGGCAGCTGCAAGAGGCCCAGGCCGAGGAGGAGCCTGAGTAGGGTTTAGGGTTAATAGGGTTTTGGGTTTATAGGGTTTAGGGTTTAGGGTTCGGGGTTCGGGCTTCAGGTTTAGGGTTTAGGGTTTAGGGCTTCTCGTTCTTCTCCTCTCCCCTTCTTCTCCGTGTGCCTTCGCGTGCGTCCTTCTCTCTCTCTCTCTCTCTCGCTCGCTCTCGCTCAGCTCGTCATTGGACAGGTCCTCAAATCCTTCATCCGAAACCAAGTGCCTTCTGAGAGTGAAGTCCTACAACCCCCCACCCCCCCCCCCGCCCCCCCCCGAGCCCCCTGAAGCCGTCCACTTGCCAGCGCACTCACACAGCCAGGCGCAAACAGCTACCACTCGGACCACCTGTGGCAGGGGTTCGGGATTTTTGCATTTTGTGGCTTCGTCCATCTTCGAGTTCAGTTTGAGCTGAATTAACCCGGAGGCAAACACAAATTCGTGAGGGGTAGGCCAGCTTCTGCGCGAAGCATGGCAGTAAGCCGACGCCGTGCTGGCTCCTGCTTTTCAAGTGAGGCCCCAAAACTTCCAGCACACCAAAGTGCTCAAAGGGGGAAAAAGTCAAGCGTAGTGACTAAACGTTCAGGACCCAAGCTTCAAGCATCTACCTGCTTATCTTGATCCGGGCGATGTTCTGGGCGCTGTGTTTTGAGATCCAGTCTGCTGCTTGACATGGTCCTCTTTCCTTTAGGACGTTTCAGATACACGGGCAACTGAGCACTGAGGACCTGGTTTGAGGACGATGCCGCGCGTTCACCAACCATGCTGTTCGGACGAGCGCTGGCCACATCGTCATCATCCGCAGGCGACTCCATGTCGTCCCAACATCCATCCCGCTGAGCAAGCTGCTCCCTCGTAGACTCCCTGCCCCAGCACGGACGTGTACTTACGCCCAACATTGATGATTGCTTCGCGCTGAGTTCGCGATGTCACCTCATTCGCACTTTGGCATTCGGCATCAAGCCCGACTGGGGACACACAAATTCGACTCTGCCTGAGTGCCAATCTCCAACGTCACTGCCGGTGGGGCTGACAGGCCTATTTCGGGGTTTACGAAGTTAGGGGGTTACCTTCCTGGGGTCGTCCCTTATTTTCGTAAACCCCTATTTCAATTTTGAGGTCTGGCAGCACTGATTCCAAGCTTGTGATACGAACGGCGAGTTTATGCAATGCAAGAGGTTAGTTTAGTCACCTGTTCCACCATGAGCAGCACTGCCAGCCAAGATCACGCCAACCCTAAACCCTAAACCCTAAACCCGAAACCCTAAACCCGAAACCCTAAACCCTAAGCCCTAAGCCCTAAACCCTAAACCCTAAACCCTGGCGGGTCCACAACAGACCCGCGCAAAACTGTGGCCCCACCAGCAAACCTGAGATGCAGGACTTAGTGTTGAGAAATGACGCCTTTCTGCTCCCCAGTGCGCCTAAAAGCAAGAACCTCCAGCCATTTCTGCCCAGAAGAAGGTTTAACCTTCTCGGAATGGATCAGGCGATGTAAACCATGGACGTCATCATGCTTGGGCCATGGATGCTCTCTGCTCATCAGAGCAGAATAGACCATGGGTCATCATGCTTGGACCCTGGATGCTCTCTTCCCAGAACGGAGTAGACCATGGACGTCATCATGGTTGGGCCATGGCAGTGCAGAAAACATGTAGACCATGGACGTCGTCATGCTTGGCCATGGATGCTCTCTTCTCATCAGAACAGAGTAGACCATGGACGTCATCATGATTGGGCCATGGATACTCTCTTCCCAGAACGGATTAGATTATGGACGTCATCATGGTTGGGCCATGGATGCTCTCTTCTAACTATGGTGAAGCAAACGTGTTGTTTAGACCCAGGGCTGGGCAGAAGCGGATGCAAGCAAGACAGGGCTTAGTTCAGGACACGTCGAAAGTGCGAAGTAGTGCAAAAAAACCCACAAATACCAGTGCAGTCTATGGATGCACAAAAAATTGCAGGATGATTTTGGATAAAAATTGCGGGGATGAGGTGATGGGCGAAACCCAGGAATTATCGGTATTTACAGGGGGTTCTGAGGGCAACAGAGCTAAACTGCCGAAAACGCGTGGGTCTGTTGTGGCCCCGCCTAGCCCTAAACCCCACCTCCAGGGGCCGCGTGTCAGGCTTGAAGCCCAGGATGGCCAGGGCCACCGAGGCTGCGTAGCCTCGGGTTTGGTTTAGGGTTTTTGGCGACGGTTTAGGGTTTAGTTTAGGGTTTAGGGTTTAGGGTTTAGGGTTTAGGGTTTAGGGTTTAGGGTTTAGGGTCTCTTTGGTTTAGGGTTTAGGGTTTGGGGTTTAGGAATTGGGGTTTCGACTCTCGCGCTAACCCTAAACCCTATAAACCCTATAAACCCTATAAACCCCAAACCCTGAACCCTAAACGGCCCGAAAAGATGGCAGCGAGGCAAGAGGCAGCTCAAGCCAATGACCATGGCAACGGCCATGCGGAGCCCAGATCTGCCAAGGTGGGGCTTAGGGTTTAGGGTTTTAGGGTTTTAGGGTTTAGGGTTCAGGGTGTAGGGTCTAGGGTTTAGGGTGTTTGCCGTGCTGCTGACAGGAGTGTAGGGTATATAATTCGGGTTCATGTTTTTGGCGGTTTATCCAGGGCTTGGAGTGTATGACAAATGCTTGGGGTTGGGTTTCAAGGGTGGAGAACTGAAGGGTTTAGGGTTTACGGTTGGTTTGGGCTGGAGTGGGTGGGTCATTTGCCTGGAGTTTAGGGTTTGTAGCTCTGGCTCTGTGCGTGGCTCTCGTTCTGTTTTGCGTCAAAAGCACCTACCCTAGAAGCCCCCTTTGGCCTCCAAACCCTAAACCCTAAACCCTAAACCCTTTTTGCCACTGGACTTAGGGGACTAACCCTTTTTGCAACTGGGCTGGGGGACTAGCCAGTCTGAGGAGCGCACATGCCTGCCCCCTAAACCCTAAACCCTAGAAGCCCCACAAAAAAACTCGCCCCTCTTCTGCCAGGCCTGCTCGGAAGGAGCCTCTGCAGCCGCGGCCAAGAAGTGACAAGTCGGAGGATGGAGCAAAGCAAACCTCGAGAAACTCGGGTTTAGGGTTTAGGGTTTAGGGTTTGGGGTTTGGGGTTTAGGGTGTAGGGACATTTCTTCACAGCAGTGTATATTGAGAACTTATTGCGTTCTTGTATTCTTCTAAGATTGTAGTGGTATATGATTGCATTGTTCTATTGTCTTACTCTTATTTGAAGACACTTTTACATGAGTATTTTAAAGAAGAATATCTAAGATAGCTCCCATGGGTTTACGGCTGAGGGTGGGTTTGTGTGTGGAAGCTAGGGTTCGGGCTTTATGTCCAGGCGCAACAAGGCTAAAGATCCGGGGTTCACATGTTCAGAGCTTTGAGACCTCATAGGCGTTAACGCGGCTGCAGGCTTGAGAGGTGTTTGGCGGTGGGAGGAAGGTAGCTGAGCCCTAAACCCTAAACCCTAAACCCTAAACCCTAAACCCTATAAACCCTAAACGGGCGCCTCTCGAGACTCCATGCCCACCGAAAGGGGACAGGCTTAGGGTTTAGGGTTTAGGGTTCCCAACCAGGCTTTGCCGGATGTGGGGGATTCCGAAGTTATTGGTACCTTCTTGGGGTCCTTATTCTAAGGGAATCCTGCTCTTTGGGGACCTGTACTGGGGCCCCCTGTTTGCGTAAACCCCCCTGTGTTCGTGTACGCGCGAGACTCTCTCCCACTATCTCGCACACCACAGTCGGCCCTGCATCCAAAGCGGCTGATTCTGACAGAGCCTTACGACTCACCCGACGCTTCCTCTATAAACCCTAAACCCTAAACCATTTGTGGCGCCGAGGCGCTATTGGAGAGCATACCTGAGGTTCTCACAAGGCTCGAGCAAATATATTCTGACATTGTCTGTTTCTTTCAACTAGTGGCCGAGATTTTGGTCAGCTAGGCACAAATTCAAAATTTGCACATGACACAAGATCTTAATTTGCAGTTTAGATTTGCCACTTCAGGCGCCTCTCTCGCACCGCTGGAACATCTGAGACCCCAACATGCAGTCCTATATCGACACTCCTTGAGCACTTCTGTGCCAGGAAGAATGCCTTTGCATCAGGGCTGTTTTAGAAGTCCTTTGTAAGCATATGCCGAAAAAGCAGCCTTGTGGCAACAAGGCCAATCCTAAAACCCTCACCTTTCAGCGTTTCCAAAAATAGGGGTACCTCTTTTGGGGGTCCCTTTAAGGGGATTATATTCTATTTGGGGTATAACAGGGGTACCCCCTATTTTGGGAAATGCCCAGACCCAGAAGAAACCTAGGAACGAAAAGGGTGCCCTTTGGTTTTAAGGGCATGAAAAGGGAAACCGAACCCTAAAAAAAGGAAATAAGGGCCTCCTCCGGGTCCTGGACAAGCTCCCCGACAGAAACTGAACCCTAAACCCTAAACCTTAAACCCTAGACCTTAAACCCTATTTTGGGAATGCCCATATTCTCACCGCTAGACCCTGCATCATGCTTGCTCCACGGCACCCAGCGGCATGCCTAACATCGCAATCTCGAAGTCCACCCGACGTGTGGTCTGCACCAGGGGAACAGAGGGCGACCCGGACGAGGCTGGCTTAGGGTTTAGGGTTTAGGGTTTAGGGTTTAGGGTTTAGGGTTTAGGGTTTAGGGTTTAGGGTTTAGGGTTTAGGGTTTAGGGTTTAGGGTTTAGGGTTTAGGGTCTAGGGATGGTCTAGGGCTTAGGGCTCAGGGTTTAGGGTTGTGGCAAGGGCTTGCTTTGACATAGCTTCCCAAAGCATGCTAAAGAACCTGGTGCAAGGCTCCCAGCTGTCGAAAAAAAAAACACACACACACACACACACACATGGCACGAAGTCCTAAGCGGCGGCGTAAATGCATCCTCGTGCAGATGCTTCCATCCTACCAGTCCAGGCCACGAGATAGCAAAGGCCCGAAAACAGACACAACCTTTCAGCCCTCAACCCCCGAACCCCTGAACCCAATACACCTGCAAGACTCAAACTGGTTTACGGCTTGGTAGGCCAGTAACCATATGAGAATAAGGGTACCCTTTTTTGGGGTTGGTTACTGTATAAGGGAACCTTGAACCCCAAAAAAGGAAAAAGGGGCACCAGTGGGCTCCCTAAACCCTTAACCCCTCCAACCCCAAACCAACCTAAGCACTCGATGCCTGGAGGATGAACCCCACGCTCGCCACCACGGCCACGTGCGGCACCTGCCCAGCGTTCAGGAACCAGGAACCCTAAACCCTAAACCCTAAACCCTAAACCCTAAACCCTAAACCGAAACCCTAAACCCGCACGGCTTTGAGGCATGTTGGCCACCTGCACTGGTGACATGGTTTAGGAATCAGGGTTGGGCTTTCAGCCCAAAACCTGCCTGTTTGGTTGGCAATTCCTGCAAAAAAACCCTAGTTTGAGTAGCCTACAAAACACAAATAGCTTTGGGGCTCCTCAGGCAGGGTCGATTGCGGGATTGTGGGGTGCGGCTTTTGGGTTGCATGGTATCATGCTGGCTACCGGCCCATCGAGGTCTGCATTTAGGGTTTAGGGTTTAGGGTTTAGGGTTTATACCAGGAATACGACTTTGATGACAGGCAATGTTCGCAAGAATGGCAGTTCAAAACTTGATGAAACGGGACACCCCGTAAAAGACCTGTTGGCTGATGATTGTTGTGCTTTGTGATGTGCTTCCACCCAGCTGTCGGCAAGGGCACGGTTCCAAGCACTCCACCAACAACGCCGCCGAAACGTTCGACGGCTGCAGTGATCACAACCTGGCAAGGCAAGGGGCAGAGGCTGCAGAAGCACCACAGGCCCGTGGGCCCGAAGTATCCGAAAGCAAGAGCTGAAATCCTACACCCTGAAGCGTAAACCCCTCAAGAATGACACTCATCGTGGCCTTTGCCTCTGCCACCCTACCACTTGAGAGGCAACATTACATGGAAAGGTATGGGCATTGTGACTCCGAACGTTTTCAAGGATGCTTCGCATTGAAGTTTGCGGTGACCTAATACGCCTATAAGCCTAATACGCCCACTTCCATGACCCGATCGGTTTGCGAACGCCGTTTTGAAGTGAACTTTAAAGGGTGTAGGGTTTAGGGTTTAGGGTTTAGGGTTTAGGGTCGTTTATGCCGTGGCAAACTCTTGCTTTTTTATGCTCGTCAAGAAACGATTACAAGAGCCGCAACACTGGCAGAGGTGATCTCCACGATCCACGTCATGGGCGCAAGGCACGCCTATGCGAGCACCCTGCCACGTGCTTACTTGCACAGGTCTGCTGTCGGGCTTGTTGTTCCGCCTTCTCCGGCTTGTGCTTGAAGCAAGGTAGCTGCTGCAAACTTTCTGACTATGTCGCTTCAGACTCACCTAGCCGCGGCTTGCTAAAGGCAAACTTCCTTTGATTTGTCCTTGTTAGACCATGACACACTCATGACTCATGTGTACGTCACGGCCTAAACCTAAGCCACCCTTCACCTTTGGAAAATGGCTGCGGCCACGTCACGAGATAGGGTCTTAGGGGACTCCCTCCGTTCTACCAGGGGGGTGGGGGGGCTGGGGTGATCTATGCGCCTGATCCGGAGGTTATGCTCATTGTACCTGCAGCCAAGCGGGGCATGGGCCTTTTCCAAGCCGAGTTTTTTGAGAAACAAACTAAAGTATGAACACATACAAATTATAAAAAACATCATAAATAAACATAAACAAATATAGATATAAATATAAATATAAATAAATAAATAAATATATATATATATATATATATATATATATATATACAATTTCCATCAACAACAAACCAACGACGCTTATGAAACATAGCGGGGGGGGGGGGGGGGGCGGACAGGACTTTCCTGAACCTGGACTCTGCTCCTCTCAAGCACGGAAGAGGGGCACCACCTAAACCCTACACCCTACACCCTAAACCCTAAACCCTAAACCCTGCACAAAAAGCTTCACCCACTTTGGGAACTGCCCCATGACGTAGATGCTCGCATGCTCGGAACAACTCCACGGAACCGAAAGCCCGCCACAACCAGCATCGGCAAGGCAGACAGGGCCATGGCCGATCCCCTTCCACCTCCGAGCTCCTGTCAGCTTTTGGTGGGGGGTTGGTGGGGGTTCTTGGCGTGGTTCATTTCGTGCTGGGAAGCTTTATGATCCAGAGCTCGAGGAGCCCGGAACCAGCAGTGCCTACACGAAAACTTGGGCTTTCTCAGCATAGCGGCTTTCAGGCACTTCAAGGTTTGGGCTTCTGAACGCATCGCAAATCTGCAAAACGGCAGCAGGTAAGCTGAAAGCTTATCGGGTTGAGGGGGTTAGGGGATAAGAGGCTGAGCGGCACCACCCAGAATGCTAGGAATGCTGGGGCCCAGAAGCTGTTTGAGGCTTGAGGGGTGACGTCAGATTCCTATATGACAAGGTTATTTCTAGACTATTCGATTACTAACATTGCCACATATATATATATATAGATGTAGACATATTTTTTGAGTGTATATATATACACACATATATAAATATATAAATATATAAATAAATAAATATATATATATATATACATATATATATATATTTTTTTTGTATATATATATATGTATATGTAGTTCATGTAGATTGCCACTCGGCTGTATACGTGGATCCTGAGGCCCGGGCACCACATCGGGCCCTCGGGTCGACAGCTTGATGTCGCCGATCATCGGCGCCAGCCTTGGCAGATATCAGGGGAGTTGTACTTCGATGTGTGTGAGCCTCTTAATTTACTCTAAACCCTAAACCCTAAACCCTAAACCCTAAACCTCAAAATTCGTATAAGTTGAGCTTTGTTTGGTAGAGTTTTTTGAACCTTTGGGATGCTTCCGGCGTCTTTTCACACCTTGACCTTCAGCTAGACAACGACTACGAACCACTTTTACGGATGGGATTGAGGGTTTTGGGGGGGTGTCACGGGGGCGAGGTCCGCCAAAACACAACCCTGCAAACTTTCGAACCTGCTACTACTGACGGGACCTGATGCGGCCAAGGCCTTTCCAGACAATGCCTGTCCTTCATGTCTACACAGGCTCGACCCATTGCACTGACTGCACGTCGGAGCAGTTCAGATAGAGCAACAAGTCATGGGTTGATTCATGATCCGGGTCAGCAGAATTCTCTGCCGCCCTAAACCCTGTTTTGAAGCGTGGACGAAGGGTCCTGACTGGGTTTAACAAATTTAGGGCTTATGGCACAGTGCACCCTACAACCCTAAACCCTAAACCCTAAACCCTGATTTAGGGCCCATTTCGTTCCCCCGAGAAGGCCAAGGAATGATTTGAGCCTCGTGCGCAACGAACGTGTTGCCTTCATCGTCCTGCGGAAGAGTAATTATAAGGATTTAGCGTATATAGGGGTCAGCAAAATTACTCCGAATACTCCATTTAGGGTTCCTATCAAAATCTACTATGATAACCGCGCCCGCCCCCCCCCCCCCCCAAAAAAAAAATAAAAAACTGAAAAAAATAATACTATTCGAATTCTTAATTAAGAACCCCTAGGGTATGTGGGGGTGACAATGCTCTATCATGAAGTGCGCACGGGTGCTTTGGAGCTGGAGGGAAGGTGTTGGGCAGGGGGCACGGCTTCATGGTTCATAGTTCCTGTATTTGCGATCAGCGCTTGCCACGTGGCCCAACCCACTGTTGCACAATACTAAGCCCGATGCAATTGAAGAAGGCACTCCCTTTTCCACCGGGCTACTGGAACATTCCTACTTTCTGGAAATCCTCGGAACCCACACCAATCCACATGTAGCCAGCCATACTGCAGGCCCGGCGCTGACATTGCAGGATCCATGACCCCAGCAGGCCCAAGAAACGCCACGAGCTTGAAGGTTAAAGCGCTCCCAAGCTGAAGTCCCCAGCGAAAGAACTGAAAGGCTAATGTTGTTTTTACTCTGACCCACAAGCGCCCACAAGACAGACACCCTCTAGCGTCTTCCCAGGAATATTACAGGGGGTTCTCATAGTATACTTCTAAAGGGACCCTAAGGGAACCATATGAGTACCTCTAAAAAATCACCCTAAACCCTAAACCCTAAACCCTAAACCCTATATTACCCTCGGCGGTCCTTGGCCTCAAAACTCCGGCTCTCCACCAGTGCCAGGGCCCATCGAATGTCTGCCAGCAACTCCTAGAAGTCTGGGTTGAACGGGGTAGCCCTAAACCCTAAACCCTAAACCCTAAATCCTAAAACCGAAACCCTAAACCCTAGACCCTTATCGGGCAGAGCCCTTCCCGAGCTTCCTGACGGAGTTTTTGCAAACAACCTCAAGCCCTACAGGGCTTCCCCACCACCTCATCTAGGGGCCTTAAGGTTTAGGGGTTTGGGGTTTAGGGTTACTATTTGCTTAAGAACCCCAAAAGAATACAAAATAATCATCCCTATCTCACCCTTAGTAAGGAAGACTTTCTTTGCACTTCTTCTCAGGGTTCTTATGCAAGCAGTGGCTAATCTAGGGGCCTTAGGGTTTGGGGGTTTCGGGTTGAGGATTTAGGGGCCTGAGGTTTTTTTGCCACCCGCCTAGCCATGCTCCACTGGGCAACTGAAGAGGGAATGCTGTGCACAGGTTACTTCAGAGCCCAACTTTACGAGCTATCAGGATCCAGGCACCACCCCCATTCCCTCCTGCATCAGGCTTTATAGGGTTTAGGGTGTGCGGGTCATGTAGGGCCTTGATAATTAGCATAGGGTCTGGGGATGATTTTAATATATTGTATCGAAACCATAAGGGAACAATATTAGCATTTATTCCGACAACTTTTGGCCACAGGAGCTCTTAAGTTGCTCTTGAGGTCTTGACTAGCAAAGCACAAAGCAAAAACATGCCCTAAATCCTAAAGCCTATCCGCACACAACATCATCGAAAACCAGAATTCGGGGATCCTTCTCGTCAGCATAGCGCCCGGCGGCCTCTGGTGCCTGCGTCGGCAACATGCAGCAACGATGAGGTCAGTGGTCAATCGTCGTGGGATCAAAGCCGAGGTCGGTTGGTTCCCGCTTAGTGATTCAAAACAGGGGCAGAACTTATTGCGTATCGCAGCCAGCACATGCAGTAATTCATAACTAATCAGTAGCGGAGAGTACCACGGGGGCTTAAACCGCAATTGTTGACCGTCTTTAGCATGCGCCCCGGAGAAACTCAGAGGACACGTCACGGGTTCTCTTGAACAAATGCAAGGGTTGGGGGCGGGGCAAAGCCCGAATGAGCTAACTTCTAAACTACGAGCCGTGGTCAGATGATGGAGGCGCTGGACTTTGCAGGGTTTACGCGGGGACTCTGGCATATTCGGGGAATATCAAATCCGATTCCCTTCGGGTTCCTCAGGACCAAAGGTGCCGAGCTTTGGGGGGGGAAACCCTAAACCCTAAACCCTAAACCCTAAACAGCCTCGGCAGTCGAACGAGCTGCCAGGCGAGCCGCTCGATCCTTTCAGGTGACAAACTTGTGCGGTGGGCCGAGCTGCTGCTGTCCATCATCTTAGGGTTTAGAGTTTAGGGCCTTCGGGATTTCCTAAACCCTGAACCCTAAGCCCTAAACCCTAAACCCTAAACGGTTTAGGGTCTTAGGGGAGTTGATAACACGGACTGGGCCATAGTTCGGATGCATCAAGCTGCGCAGACACCAAGCAAGCCATAAACCTTTGCATGACAGCTTGTAGTGTCTTTTTTGGGGGCCTCAATAGTTAGAATAGGGTTTGGGGGGCACTATAGTATACGCGGGGGCCCGAAGGGGATACCATCACTAACGATCCCGAGCCCTATATCATGTGGCGGAGCTGTTTGGGATGGGCCCATCGGCGAGACTCATAAGAAAGTCGTAACCACGGTTAGCAACAGCCACTTGGGATGTTCCCCCTTAACGGTCCTTAACAGGGATTATAGTAGGGGGGGTACTATCATCCCTACTAAGGAGCTGTTAGTACAAGGGGCCACTGTGCAACAACCATGGACAGCCAGGGACCTTGTCATGTTGCGAGGGCCCATGTGAACAAACGGGGTCTGCGCCTTACGCTTCCTCTTAATTAGTAGCCCAGTACCATGTCATAATGAGGGCACCCTTTTTGGGGTTGGCTACTTTATAAGGGAACTCAGGACCAAAAGTAAGAGTAAAGGGTACCACTGGGCTAGCAAGTCCTTCCGCGATGTTTTAACAGCACGCAAGAGGCCCGGCCAGAACCACAAATA